AAAAATACACACTCTTAAAATAGTGCCATCTGATTAGCATTCATTTTAAAGAAAAAAACATTTTTAAATTCACACAAGTCACTAAATTTTCAAAGAGAAACATGGAATTGTGTAGCTAGAATTCCAATGAAAAAATCTGAAGATGTAGGGGTTGATCTGAAGGTGCTGATTTAGGAAGTGTCTGCTATCTTCAAAGTTGCTAGCTCTTTATCTTCATAAATAATATTCCTGGCAAAATCCTCACACAGATACCTCTAATTGCCGCTGAAGCAAAGTGGAAATGCTTTCTATCTACAGGATCTAGTAGTAAAGTATAGCAGTAAGGACTTAAATAATAGTAGTAAGTATAGATTCTTTGTGTTTCTCTTTCATCCGTGCTACCTTAACACAAAGTATTAATGGGCAGAACTGTGCAGGAAAAAGAAATGTAATTTCATGGAGAATTTCAAGATTTCAGAATTTTGGTTCTGTCCCAATTTTGACGCAACCGCATTTTCCAACAGAAAACTGTTCTAAAATTTTCCAACTAGCTCTATTAGTGAGTCTTTATCACAATGAAGTGACAGTGACAACTCTAACGTATATGCTAGCCACACTTTTGAAATGACTTGTGTAGTATAAGGAAATAATTAATGAATGTCAGGTGCAGACAACAAAAAAGGTGGTAAACTGTTGTTTAACATTCTGTCATTATTAATGACTGAAAAAAAAAGAACAGATAGTCAAACACAGTAATATCTGATAAGTTATATATCATATGGGCACACTGCTTAAATTTGTTATGGTGATGGAGGATGTATGAGTACCTAGACAAACTTAAAGGAAATATGAATGTTACCAGATCCTGCACTATTCTATAACTCCTTAGTGCTTTTAACCTGAAAGACTGCAGTGCTGTCTTTGAAGAAAATCCGAATACAATCTTATTTGATTGGTTACTATTCATAGATAAATATATTTGATTCTAATACAAGTGAAAGGATGGTAACCAGCAAATATTCATTCAGTTACTGTGAGTGTTTATTTTGTAGCCTTCCACTTTACTACTAGTCTTTGTTTCAGCATAATTTAAAACACCTTGGCAAATAAGCCGTAAAATGTCTTTTTAAGAAACGTTTTTTTCCCCTAAACCAGTAGCTATAATCAGATGACCACATGCCTTGCTCTAGTATTTAAACCAACTGTGAATGCCCTGTGGTCTCTGCCTGTAGCTAGAACTTTACTGAACACAAGCAGAGCAGCATAATTGGAAGGTAATAAGGCCAGACCAATGCAGTCATCAGAAGTGTGTTAACCATGAATTTGGTTTGCAAAGTACTTGCGCCTGAAATCTGAATGTAAAGGACTTCCTTTTCTGTTTCAAGAGAAAATGGGAATGCATTTGTTACTCATTAATGATTCTTAGGGATGGTACATATCATTAAGGTATTTGGGGAAGAGTTAAGTCAGTATTAGATGAAGAAAGACTCATGGATCTCACTAATGACACAGCCCTGGCAAAATATCCATTTCCAGAATCTATAGCCAACTTATAAACCAAGAGAAAATAAGACCGGCACTATTTCTGATCATCTTCACAAATTCTGGTGTCTTAATTTTCTAACTTTGTTTTGTTTTATTGAGACCAGAATAGATGCAGAAAAAATTGTAACTAGGCAAAAATTAAACGTCTTATAAGAGGCATTTCCATAAGTTGGCAAATGGGCATCTGCTTGCTAAATAGGCATGGACACATTTTTAAATATCAACCGGCTGAAATCCACTTTGTCCGACTTCACCCAAAATGGTAGGTTAGAATTTGATAGATGCAAACATCACAATACAGTATGGTGGTGTGTGTATATTACATTTTTATGGTATAATGCAAATCCCTGTGAACCTATGGCTCGGGATTCTGGTTTTGGAGTACAGTGGCAGGGGTGGGCTGTCTGCAAGGGGACAGCCAAGAAGAGCCCCTGCTCTGGGAGCCTGTCCCTATAGTACAGAGAGAAAATGACTAGCTGCATCCCCAGAATACCAGCCCTCTCCAGCCACCTGAGCTTCATCCATGCAGTGAAGGCATTGCTAAACTGGTGTTATGACATGACCCCAGGGTCTTACACACAGGGGCTGAAATCTGGCCATCTGAGAACTCCTCCTGCTGAGGGACGGTGAAAATCAAAGCTGGATCCTGTGCCAACCACCCCCACCTCAGTGTAAGGGCTCTACCAATTCTCAACTCATGGATGGTCTCTTAGGGACCATACACAGTTGGTTATATTTAGAGTAAGCTAGACTCTAGAGACTGCTCTGAAACCACAGTGAAAGTCAGAACTGAAGAGCCATATCCTGTTCCCTGCCACAACCCTGAGGACTCTACATTAAGCAGATCTTGGCCTAGAAGAGAATCCATAGCATGATATTTATCTTCTGGCACTGTGATGACAGCATGTGATGATCAGGATTTGCAGAATTTTTTTGTAATCCACATAACTGAGATTAGAGAAGGATGAGATTAGAGAAGGGAAAAGATCTAATGGGTTTGTCACAGTTCAGGGCAACTGCGTCTGTAATCTCCCTCTATACAGCCAGGGCACCCCTTTTAGACTTCTGGCTCCCCATCTGTTGCCTCTCTTGGGCAGAGACACACATTTCTCTCCCTCCTGACTGGGATATTTCCAGGCTGTACCACTCCCAGCCTATGATCTGAATTCCCCAGCAAAGTCATGCTGCCTAAACAAACCTGCTTTGCTTTTCTCCTCAGAAATGGCAAACAGTGTAATTGCCACAATGAAGCTACTGCATAGGTGCCGACTCTGTGGGTGCTCCGGGGCTGGAGCACCCACGGAAAAAATTGGTGGGTGCTCAGCACCCACCTGCAGCTCCCCGTGGCCCCGCCCCACCCCCCTGCTCCAGTTCACCTCTGCCTCCGCCGCGAGCGCGCCGCCGCGTCCCGCTTTCCCCCCCCCCAAGCGCTTGCGTTGGGGGGATAGCTCAGTGGTTTGAGCATTGGCCTGCTAAACCCAGGGTTGTGAGTTCAATTCTTGAGAGGGCCACTTAGGGATCTGGGGCAAAAATCAGTACTTGGTTCTGCTAGTGAAGGCAGGGGGCTGGACTCGATGACCTTTCAAGGTCCCTTCCAGTTCTAGGAGATGGGATATCTCCATTAATTAAAAAAAAAAAAAAATTAAAAACAGCTGATTCGCGGGGCAGGGAGGAGGGGGAACACGGCGTGCTGGGGGAAGAGGCGGGGCCAGAGCAGGGATTTGGGGAAGGGATCCAATGGGGGCGAGGGGGCAGAGTTAGGGCAGGCACTTTGTGGATGGGGTGGAGTCGGGGAAAGGGGTGGGGGCGCGGGAACCCACCGGCACTGGAGAAAGTTGGCGCCTATGAGCTACTGCACAGCTCTTTCTAAGCAAGCACATTTGTTTTTAAGGTGAAAGCATTACAGAGAAACCGTATCAAAAACAATAAAAGAATCTACATGCATGCTAATAAGCTTACCAGAGATCACCCCCTGACTACAATGACGACTCTGGCTGGTGAACAGTCAGTCCTTTAAACCCCTCCCATGCAGAGTCACCCCTTTTTTCCAGTTCGGGTCTTTGAAGAGGCTGTGAATAGGTAATCAGCCAGACAATGGGTTCTGCTCAAGGCATAGCTTCAAAAGGATGGATCTGGAGATGGGTCATTTGTATTCCTCTCTTTCCAAATATTTCCTAGGAAGTCTACTCAATTAACAGTTCATTCTTGTCTTAGTCCATTGTTTAAAAGAGTGTGCCTAAGCACATAACACTTCCCAAGATTTATATTAGTCAGGTCTCCTAAACAAGTTACATACAATCCCACAATAACACATTTCCATTTTAATACAATGAGAGGCTAAGATACTTTAACTTGATTCAATAAGATTTTCCAGCATATGTCAGGAAACTGCCATATCTGTCACAAGGTCAGTTAATCCATTTCCTTCTCTGCCTGTGTCCTAAAATATATTTGCTTCTGCTTTAACAGCTTAGTTTTAAATGTCCCAAGTCATGGGGCTTCTGTTAACCTCTTTGGAAGACCTTGTCATGAACAGATCTATATGCTTTAATCATAAGAGAGAGAATTCTGGTTGTAGAACTTTAACAAATAGGTTTTTTTCCCACTAATGATAAAAAATATAGTAAAGTGAGGCAGTTTCCAATGGAAAAGTTCAATTTCAGAAATGTTTGTACAGTCTGCTTTCTCTTTGCCTGCTTTCCCTATTTTATTTTGATTTTTTTTAATTGAAATTCTCAGTACCTCATACGTAAAGACATATAAAAATTGAGTTATCAACTCAACTCTGAATTTTGACTCTCCTACTCCTCCCTCTCCCCCCTCCCCCACTCCGGCCAAAACAAGAGTAGTATTGATAAACCTTGGAAAGAAAGCCACACCCAGTCTTCTCTTGCACTGGAAGGACGGTCAAGATGGAATGTGGGGACATTAAACTGGGAGAAAAATACGCAAGTCACTGAAGCTTCAGTCAAATTAGAGGACTGCAGTACCAGCAACTGTAAAAAGAGTATGTTTTGATACAATTCTGTAAATGCCAGGTATTAAACCATTATCCTAAGGGGAATGTGCGTGAACCAGTATTTGATGGTTAGATCACCCAGTATTTAGAGTATTTTAGCATATTCTACTAACTCGATTTCCATCTCTGTCTCCTTAACTAGCTCTGAAATAGCAACTAAAAATACTCCATGTAAACCTTTACAAGTGTATATAATGTATTGTCACCAAACTACAAGGGGGAAAAAAAGAGCTGTTCAAATGTTCTTCTGCATTTATACCATGAGTTAAATATGCCCTGGTGTACATATAGTCTTTCATTTAGGATTTAGTCCATTTGTCTCACTTGTATTTTTTTGTTTTGTTCCATTTTTGGTATATTTGTTAGATAAAAAGTAATAAAACACTTAAACAGAAAAGCATTTGGGGCTTAATGACTGATGTGTTTCATTCACTGACTTTTCTGTTTGTTCCCATAGGATTCTGTTCTGATACTGTGTCCATAATTGATGCATCACATAGTGAATCAATTGAAGAAAGCCCATTCCGTCCTCCCTCCCATTCATTTTCTACTGTCTTTGATGAGGATAAGCCTATAGCCAGCAGCGGGACTTACAACTTAGACTTTGATAACATTGAGTTGGTAGATTCTTTCCATACCTTAGAACCTAGCACTCCAGAAGCTAAGAATCGGGACCCTAAAGTGAATGTTCGAAGAAAATCCACAGATTCTGTCCCAATTTCCAGATCTACTTTGTCTCGGTCTCTTAGTTTGCAAGCTAGTGATTTTGATGGCGTTTCCTATCTTGGCAATAATGAGACAGTAATTCCAACAGCAGACGTGTTCAATACTGGTTCAAGTAGTGCTTCTAGTACCCTTAAGCGAACAAAGAAACCCAGGCCACCTTCCTTAAAGAAGAAGCAATCCGCAAAAAAATCTGCAGACTCTCCACCAGTGAAAGAAACGCAACAAGAACCATCTGACATTAGCCAACAAGCTTCTGTCCCAAGTGAAGAAAAACTGGTGTCTGATGTAGAGGTTGAATCAATTAAACCTGAATGTACTGAACCTTCCCAAATCTCTACGGAGAAACAGGAGGCCCCTGCTGTGCCTGAAGCTTCCTATCCCTTTGATCGAGAGAACTTTGAAGAGATTAATACATTTAGTACTGGAGAAAGCAAAGTGCAAACCTCTCCACCTGCCAGTAAAAAACCCCAACCTCTTACAACGGCACCAGAGGCCGTGGAGGTGACTCCATCTGACACTGGAGGACAAGAGGATCCTCCAGTCAAAGGTCTAGCTGTGAGACTAGAGTTTGATTATTCTGAGGAAAAGGGCAGCAGAGAGGACCATCAAGAAAGCACTCCCCCACCCAAAAAAGCAGGTAAAAAATCTGGTGCCAAAATGCCACTAAGAAGGCCAAAGACTAAAAAGACAGTGGAAAAGCTTGACAATGCTCCCACCACACCGACCAAGTCACTCACTGATCCAAATGATATCCCGATTTCAAAAGGCTCTTATACTTTTGATATTGACAAGTGGGATGATCCCAACTTTAACCCATTTTCTTCCACTACAAAAATGCAAGAATCTCCCAAATTGCCTCAACAAACATACAGTTTTGATCCAGATACCTGCGAGGACTCAATTGACGCTTTCAGGCTATCTTCGAAGATCACCAGCTCACCTTCTAAATCTCCAGCCTCCTTTGAGATACCAGCTAATGGCAATGAAACAAATGGAACTGAAGGAGACAACCTAAATAAACCTGCAAAAAAGAAGAAGACACCACTAAAAACGTAAGTTAAAGTGTAGAGATGTTTCTGGATTATGAAGTGCTCCTCCTTGCACCCCACCATAATTACTATAGTTTTATAATTCATGGGTTTCAGTAAGGTAAGAAACATGGTGCTGATGAATGTGATACTAGACAACCGGATATATGTTTATGGCTTACCACGGTAGGCATAGGCTTTCCTGTACATCATCAATGCCATGTTGCTCCCATCACCATATAATTTGTAGTAAAAACCCAGAGAAACCAACCCAGACCAGGTCACTGGGTTAATAATTGGATGTTGGAAGTTTAAGGGCCCAGTCCTACTCCCACTGACGTCAATGCCTGAATGCCCATTGACTTCAGTGAGACTAGGATTGGGCCTTTAGCAATTTTTGTGCCACATTTTCAATGTTAGCTTACTCGTGGTGCAGTGAGTTCAGCAATGGGAAAAAATAATTTCCTGGCCTATTGCTAATGCAAGGCTGATCCTGTGAACCCTTACTTGTGCGAGTAGTCCTTACACACACAAACCCTTATTGAAGCTAATGGGACTGCTCACATAAATGAAGAGTACTTGTGTGAGTTAGGGTTTGTGGGATATAGTGAATGAAATCAGTGGCAAAACTAAGTAGGGCCATGTTTTCATCCAGTATTTTTTTTATGTATATGTATGAGAAGTGGAAAACTGTCTTATTTTTACTAGTTTGAATTCCTGTGTTTTTTTTCATATTTTTTTAATGTGAGGCTATAACCTTTGAAAACATTTTTCTATAAAAGTAGTTTCAGGATTCACAGGATGATCAAAAAAACACTTGGTTTATCTCCTATTTCTGTGCCCATAGGCCAAGTTGTGGGAGAAATGGTTCTAGCTGCTACATTTGATTGGTTGGTTGGTTGGTTAATAAAACTCGGTATCCAGTGGTACTGATTCCCACGTAGTTAACTTGCTGATGCGCACTTCTGCTATCTTATCCCCTCAGACATAATTTTCTTTGAATTAGTTACCACAGATTTTATTCACAGGATTTTACATTTCAGATAAACAGAGAACATATCTAATAAGGTCTCTCTGAAAGTCCCTTTATAACTTAATAGTGTCTGCTAATTAAAGATAACATACTACATCTTAAAATTTAAGTTTGTCACTAAAACTAACAAAAGACCGAAGAGCTAAAGATAAGGCAAACATTGTAAAACAAAAAAGTAAACTCCATAATGCTATGAAATGAAGGATGGAGAATGTCCAATTATGCTTTTTATTTCCTGGCACGAGTTGGGCTTCTAACTCCAGCCATTTGCCAGATTTAGGTTTGTATGTGGTTTGGGATGTTTTGCGTTTTGAAGTAGAAGTCATTTTTGAATTACTTGAATGGATGTTATAGGATATGATACGGTTGGGCAGAATGACTTCAGTTTTTTTGAGGGAGATGCCAGATTTTCTGATGATGTGTTTTAAATTTTGGGAAATGCCTGGAGTTCAGAGTAGGTGCCAGAGAAATTTAAAAATGTCTACTGAGAGAGGATAGTTTCCTCAATATTCCTAAAACCTAAAGAATTCTCCAAGAATAACATATTCAAGTTTGAACAAAAATAACAAGACTAAAAAGTGCATCTGTGTGTGTGAGATTTGAATTTCATTCTAGAGGGGATTTTAATATTCAAGGCCTTAGTCCAGCAATTTACTACCAGGAAGAGTTCCCCTGTGCCTAGATGGAGCGCCACTAAAGTCAGTGTGCAAGCCCATGTATTGTAAATTGCAGGACAGGCCTTGCGTTATTTAATCATTGAGAACAGAGGTTTGTGATGGAACACATGATCCAGGTTGCCCCATCGCCTGGAAAAACTTACAGGAGCTAGTGAGAGCACTCCATGAAGTTCCTTCCGCAGAATTTTCTCTGTAGTCTTTCACTGGGGGTAGGGGTTTACCCCCTCCCAAATATCTCAGGTCTGCGGGAGGCACAAGGCTTATCTGCCCTCTGTTACTCTTCCCTGGCTCCAGGCAACACAGCTGCCTTTGCTGAGCTGTGCTTTCATGGAGTCACCTGCCCTTAGCAGCGTCTGGAATCCATGTAAGTGGTTGTCCCCAGTGCGCAGGAGCTGCATGATAATGAGAATGCAGCCTACAGCTATAGTATTCTTATAGGGGATTTACTGCAGGGCTTGTTGGGGGGTGAAATGGGCAACACTGTGTCTGTGCCCCAGTCTGTCCCCTCCCCACATAAGTGTCCATGGCATGAGATTGCTCAATGGGATCCACTGCAGGAGAACCACCATTTGGGGAGCCCAGTCACAAATACTTCAGGGGAGCTCCTAGAAGAAGAAAGGAAGCTATTAAAGTGAAGGACCTTAAATGGTGATTTATCTTGCTGATCTTCATTTCAGGAATCACTTGGCTCAGTTTAAACTGATACTGTAATATCCTAAGATTTTATTTATTTATTTTTAAAAACTAGCTTAAGGGTTAGTTTTTCAACGCCAAGAGTCTTTGTTAACATTGAGAGTTGCAGGGAGAAATCCCTGCAGACTGCTTTGAAAATGTTTTGCTTATTGTGTTTTCTAGCAGAGGGGAGCATGGTGATTTCCAGGCTAGACCTGTAGGATGCCTAGGAGTGAGTCACTAGCTTAAGCATCACTAACACTACAGTGCGCTTGATTCTACAGCGCACATTAGTGGCACTACATCATCCTGGAGTAAAAGTGTAAACATTCTAAACACTCACTCACCACTCTATTAAAAGAACAGACTTGGGAATGGATTTCAGCTCAACTCAAATTGCATTCCAGTCATGTCTCTAAATATTTAACTGTGGTTCTGAGACAGATCATTTTGCTGAGATGATACTGAACAAAGAGCAGCAGCTGCTCCCTCAATGCTCGCTAGTTATGAATAAAGAATGGGTGGCCCGTTTAGATCTGAACCTCAACTCTCCCCTGTATTGATGGTTGGGAAGCATCCAGACCCTTTCAAAAGACTGTGTTTAGATATGGAAGGTGCCAGCTTTCAAGATCATCCTGCTTAAAAATATGGCATTAAAGCTGACAAGCATGGAAGCGGATGAAGACTTTTTCTAGCCCTGGTTATTGAAATAGAACTGTCCCAATTTCCAGAGCATTCACTTTGAACTGTCAATACTCAAACTGTCATTTCATTAAGAGCCAAAAATACAAAAACTTAAAGAAATTTCCCTTTCTTTCTTAGAGTGTGGAAGTAATTTGAAATAGACAGACCAGGAACTTTTTCTGCTGCCTTCTACTGATAGATCAATAGTCATAAAAGAACCTAGTGTTCTCCTGTTTCTTTAAACTTAATTGCTACTAATTTCCTTGGGAACTTTTTTTTATATACTGTATATTAACTAGTACTCTATCTTGAAAAGAAAGCAGATGGCTACCTCAGGAAAGGCAAGAATGTGTAAAGCATTGACAGCAATTAAACTGGTAGGCTTCTGCTATGAAAAAATGGTTTTTATGCGGTGAAAACATGTCAGAAAATTATATGGAATTTAAGAACATTAACTGGTTTAGGAATTATCACCTCTCTTCTCCACCCCTTCCCATTAAAAAATGTTTTAAGGTTGTGCAGACTTCCTAGGATATCAAAAATGTATGGTGATTTTGCTCTAACACATTAACAGAGTGTCTGCAGATTTATCCTTTTTGTCAGTTCCTTCTGTCTGTCTCTCTTTTCTTTGTCTTATTTGTCTTAGGATGGTAGAAGATGTGATGTCTGTATGTTCTCTGTTGTAAGTAAATTTAATCTAACGGGCCTGTTATGGTGAAAGTGCCGTATACTTTGTTAATGGTTTATGGGCTTTTTAAACATTTTTATTTTACTTTATTTTGCAGCATGATCAAGAATTATTGGGCATGGAGCTTTACGGTGTTATTTTTACCGGCTTATGTAAAAGTTATTTTAAGTGAAATTGCCTGGCTGTGAATAAGCTTGAGGGAAGCTATTATGTCAGTGTCTGGTTGCCTGTCTAGAAGGATTGGTTTTTTAAAACTGTATATATTTGATGCCCTCAGCTAAAGCATTAACACTTTCTTATTAGCTTGATTAATAGAATATTGCATTATACAACACTGTACAGCCATTCTTTCTTAAACACTATCTAATGTTTATAAGTACTTTTTAAAGAAAACAATTATTCTCATTATTTATATTATCAGACTTAGTAATTAACAGCCGGTATAGAATACTTATACCAGCAAACAGATGGCCAATTTTTTTGGTCATGTATGTTTATAGGTGAAGTATTGACTTATTCTCTATCATTTGAAACGCTTCATTGTAAACTCCTTTTGTTGCCTTGCAAGTCATTGATCAGAGCACAGCTATAATTTTCACCACTGCATCTAACCTCAACCACAAAGGCTTTATTGAGTAACTCGGCGTGAAATTGTGCAGGCTGTTCCCCTGCCTCTTCCACCTAATATCAAAAGCCAGTTAGGTCAGGTCTGGCAGCTTGCATCTGGAGCACTGGTAGATCTTGCATCAATCTGGGAATGTTCTCGTTAGGGAATTTTTAACCTTTTGGAAATGGCGAACACACATAAAGGCAGCGTACCTTACATATATATACACCTCTACCCCGATATAACGTGACCCGATATAACACGAATTCGGATATAACGCGGTAAAGCAGCGCTCCGGGGGGGGGGGGGGGGG